TTCTGGAAAAGAGACAAGGAACTAGGAAGAGATGAGAGAGAAAGAAAAAATATTCTAGAGTTTTTAAAATTCTACAGTTTATTTGTAGTGATATACCAATGTTGGACTCTTAACTTTGACAAATGTGCCATGATAACATCAAAACCCACTGTGAGGTATCTATACCCCCTTCCATCAGGTTTCTGAAGCTGTGAATATATGGGAATTTATACCATATTTATACCATCTTTATACCAGCGCCTGGTAGATTCCAACTTCTGACCTTTAGATTAACAGTCCAGCACATATTGCACTGTGCCACCAGGGTTCTTTATGGTAACATTAGGGGAACTGAAACTAGATGAAGAGTAGACAGGAAACTGCTACTATTTTTGTAGCATATCTTTAAGAAGAAAAAAAATGACTTTGAAAAATAACCACCAAAAACTTAAGCAAAAGAAAGTGAAGACTGTGAGAAACAACAAAATGCTTGTAGCAACTATATTTGTAGTTGTTAGTAAGTGCCGTCAAGTCAGGTATGGTTCATAGCCACCCTAACAACAATTTGGGATACTGTCCTATTCTGTGCCATCCTCACAATATCTGATACAGTTAAGCCGGTTGCTGCAGTCACTTTGTCAACTAACCTGGTTGAAGGTCTTCCTCTCATTTGCTGTCTTTCAACTTTCCGAACCATGATGTTCCTCTCCAATGAATAGTCTTTCTTTTTTTTTTTAAATAAACACAGTGTGTGTGTGTGTGTGTGTGTGTGTGTGTGTGTGTGTGTGTGATTACTGTCAAATAGGATCTGATTGTTACAGGAGGAGATAGTCCCTCCTTCTCCAGCAGAGCATCTGGTGGATTTGAACAGCGCACCTCTGGGATTGCAGTGCAGCTTTTTGCCACTAGGCCACAGAGCTCGCCAAACAGCCTTTTTTTCTTTTATTTTTTTTCAAACAGCCTTTCTTAACAACATGCCCAAAGTATGTGAGACAAAGTTTTATCATCTTTCCCTCCAAGGTTCTGACTGTACTTTCTCCAACACATATTTGTTCTCTTGGTTGTCAATAGAATATTCAGTGATCTTCTCTAAGACCACAGTTCAAAGGCATCAATTCTTCTCTCATCCTTATTCACTGGCCAGCTCTCAGTAGCATAGAAAGTGATCGGAAAGACCATGGCCTGAATAAGGCGTACCTTAGTCCTCATTGCTCCTCAATAATTTGGAGGTGAAGTAAATAACTATATTTAGGAGGCAAGAAAAGAATCTGTGTCTTTTTTTAATTTACAGAATGTTCATTAACTCAGATACTATGCTTTTTGTTTAAAAATTTTGTTATTATTTCTGATTATAAAAGTATAGTTTACCAACAACGAGGAAATAACAAAATAGATGAATGGGACCTTCTAAGAATTAAATCTTTATGCATATCAAAAAACTTCTCCAACAGGATAAAAATGAAAGCCAGAGACTGGGAAAAATATTTTGTAATGACATATCTGATAAGGGACTTATATCTAAAATTTATAGAATACCCCAGCACCCCAACAAGGAAAAGGTAAACAATCCAATCACAAACTGTCACAGGATATGAATAGATACTTCACCAAATAAGACATTAAGAAGGCAAACAAACACATAAAGAAATGTTTAAAATCTTTAGCTCTCAGAGAGATACAAATCAAAACAACTATATCATCTCACTCCAGCAAACAATAAATGCTGGCGAGATTGTGGAGAGATTGAACTCTTATTCACTGCTGTGGGAGTGTAAAATTATGCAAACACTATGGAAGGTGGTTTGGTGCTTTCTCAAAAAGTTGGAAATACTGTTTGACCCAGCAATGTTACTACTGGGAATAGACCCTAAAGAAACCATAAACTCATCCGAACAGATATATGCACACCCATGTTTATTGCTGTGTTATTTATAATAGCAAAGAGATGAAACCAGCGCAAGTGCCCATCAACAAACTAATGGATGGGAAAACGATGCTATATTCATAAATGGAACATACACAGCACTGAAAAACCATGAACTTATAAAACATTACACAACATGGGGGGACCCTGGAGGACATAATGCTGAGTGAAATATCTCAGTCACAAAAGGACAAATACTGCATAGCACCACTGTTATAAAGCAGGGCTAACATGGGGGGTTGGGAGGAGAATAGGATAAAAGTGGATAGATAATGACATTTTATTGGAAGAGATCAAGGAAAGTACTGCTTAAGAGGAATATATGATTAGGCATTATACATATGACAACAGCCCAGAGTAAGAGGCATATCATTGCAAAGAGGACTGGGGCGGGGGAGGGGTGGTAGGTAATTGTGCAACAGTGATTGAATATTTAAAAAAAAGTGAATTGGGGGAGGGGAGAGGGGAAAGAGAGGGAAAGTGGGTAAAATGGGCAACAATAAATGAAAAATGAAAATCTAACTTCCCTGTAAACATTGGTTAAAAACACAGTTAAAATAATTTTTTTTGGGGAAAAAAGAAAATTATAGTTTCTAATGTCAAAAAAGGAGTTCTGGTGGCCTGCCTACTAGCAAGAAGCTGTGCTGAAGTCCTGAAGGCATGCGGTTGAAGGCCACCAGCTGCTCTGGGGGGAGAAGGATTGGCAATCTCCTGTGCGATTAACTGCCTCTGGAAACCTGCTATGAGTCAGATCTGATTCTACGGTACACAACAACAACAACAAGCTCCTATTTTGTAAAAAATAAATAAATAAAAGCATCAGGCATAATCCTTGTATCTATCATCTTATTGATCTTCACAACCAACAGATCTTTTCTCCTCCTTTTACAGAGGAAATAGGCTCAGAAAATTTATATGACTTGCCTGGTTATATAAGAAGCAGGAGGAGGAATTGGGGTTTGAACTTGTGGGGAGGAGAGAGATGAGGCAGAGAAATAGGAAATCCTATCCCATCTTTTTGTGATCAGGAGAACTAGTTGGTCTGTCTCCTTAGCAGATTTCTGTTGAAAAAAGGAAGACATTTTAATTAGATAATCACTTGTTATGCATCAGAGAGTTGGACAATGACTAGGGAGGATAGAAGGAAAATTGACGCCTATGAGCTGTGGTGCTGGAGAAGAGTATTGAATGTACCATGGACTGCCAAGAAAACAAACAGATTCATCCTAGAGGGCTGCTCCTTGGAGGCAAGGATTCTGGGGCTTTGTCTGACATACTTTGGACATGTTGTAAGGAGAGACAGGTCTTTAGAGAGGGACATCATGCTGGGTAGAGTAGAGGGACAGCGCAGGAGGGGAAGACGCTCTATGAGGTGGATTGATTCAGTGACCGGGGTAATCAGTATGGGTGTGTCAGAGGCAATGCGATTGGCACAGGATAGAGCAGGGTTTAGGGCTGTTGTACATAGGGTCACTATGAGTCGCAAACGACTCGACAGCACATAACAACAACATGGGTTTCCTGAGAAAGAATGAGCTCTCTCCATCACTGGAGGTGTATAAGTAGAAGACTACAGAGTGTTCTGGGAGAGCTGATACTACATCTCTCTCCTCAGACCTGAAATGCCGGGCTGTGTCTTCTGTGGATTCGGGGGACTCCTGGAGGTTGGACCTTCACAATCCTGTCAGACCTGCATGTGTTTCCTCCATGTGACTAGGAGCAGAGAGGAGTTGGTAGCTTCTGCAGCAACTCCTTCATTTTTTTATCACCACCCCTCCTCCATCGGGGTGTGGAATTCTGGCTTTTCACGTTAGAGATTGGGTTTGATTCTTCCAACCATGCAGAGGCATCGCTCCTCTGTTTGTGAGGGATTCTTTTTTTGCTATGGAATGAAGGAAGATAAATCTGTATAAAAAAGTGAGTGAAAAACCAGTTTCTTTGTAAACTTTCGTTCAAATAACTTTAAAAAAATAATTACAGCCTTCAATACGGGTTACATCTCAACATCAAGAAAACAAAAATCTTCATCACTGGGCCAGTGGGCGTCATAACGACAGATGGGGAAAAGATAAAGCCGTCAACAATTTGATCTTACTTGGATCTACAATCAATACCGTTGGTTTCAGTAGTCAAGAAAGTAGAAGATGTATTGCATTGGGAAAGTCTACTGTCAAGGACCCCTCTGAAGTGCTAAGGAGCAATGATGTCAGTTTGAAGACCAAGGTGGATCTGATTCAAATCATAATCTTTTCAGTGATTTACTATGCATTTAAGAGTTGGATAAGGAGTAAGGATGATGAATATTGATGCTTTTGGGTTGTGATGTTGGAGAAGAGTATTGGATATCCCTGGACTGCCAAAAAAACAAACAAATATGTCTTGGAAAAAGTGCAACCAGTGTGCTCCTTAGAGGCAAGGACGGTGAAGCTAGCTTGTCTCACATACCTTGGGTGTGTTTATAGGAGGGGCCATTTCTTGGAAAAATAAATGTGGAAAGGTGGTCAACGAAAGCGGGGAAGATCTTTAGCAAAACGGAATGACACAGTAATGAGGTTGGCACAGGATATGACAAGGTTCTGATTTGTTGTTCTTAGGATTATGAGTGGTACTCTACTCGGTGGCTCCTGATAACAACCACGACAGGATGCTAAATAGATTAGGAAGAAATGTCTGAAGATTTTAGGAAGATCTACCCAAACCAACCTCATCTGTGGACAAACATGATCCAGTCCCAGTTCTGCATGCAGTCGCTAAGTGGTGTAGACCTTGTGGCAGCTAAAGACAGCAACCCCCACGGGGATACCTCCCTGACCTCTGGGGAGGTGGGACGGCCTTTGATTTGCACAGCACCTCCGGATGTCAGGACTTGACCTGACGTTCTCAGCTGTGCAACCAACGCGGGGAGACAGATCTGGCAACATCATTTTAGAGATGAGGAAACTGAGGCTGAAAGTGAGAAGTGCTTTGCCCAACAGGGTCGCGGGTCAGGCCCCCTGCGGCAGCTCCTCCCACTCGGCCGGCCAGGCGGGCGGGGCTGCGGTGCTGCCGCCTCTCCGGGTGTCGCGGAGCCTCACTCCCGGCCCGCTCGCCGCTCGACATGGACCCGGTGCCGCTGGAAGACTTCGTGCGCGCCCTGGACCCCGCCTCGCTCCCGCGTGTGCTGCGCGTGTGCTCGGGGGTCTACTTCCAGAGTGAGTGCGCGTGGAGCCCTGCCCGGCGGCACAGCCGACAGGCTCCACTGGGGTGTGCCCAGGGCAGATGCCCGAGGGACTTTAGGGCTGCGCCCCAGCTTCGATGCTCCATCACCTGGCCACGCACGGCCTCTCCGCTGCCAGCTTCTGCACGGTGGAGTGGGGGAGCGCACAGGGCGGCGCAGGGAGGCCGCACAGGGCGGCGAAGGGAGGTCGCTGCACTCCGGCACGGAGGGTGGGTGGAACACAGTGGCCTGCTGGCCGCACAGCGCGCATTTGTGGAGCTCCGACTCAGGCGCCCTGACACACGGCTGTTGATGGATTCTTGGGTTTCAGGGGTCCTGACCCTGCCAGTTCCTCTCCCCGCGAGCGTCCTGATGCTCTTTCCTCCCTCCGTCCCCCTTCCTGTCCTTTAGCCTCTGCTTGGCAATTAGCACCTGCCACTGGATCTCCAGTTCTCAACTTAAAGGACTCTGGCTCGGAGAGTCGTCCCTCTGCTCCTCGCGGGGCCCTGCATGCCTGCTGCCGAGGCGCGGACACGAACTCGTGTCGCAGAGCGCAGGAGGGAGGGACAGGCGGTGGAAGGAGAGGCTGGCTGCTCAGCGGGTGCGCGGGCTGGCGCTTTTCTGCGGCGAGAGGAGGAAGGGAGGCAGAGGGCAGACAGAACTGAAATAAAATGCATGCTTTGTGGGCGACCAGGCGAAGACCAAATTCGCAAGTGACAGCTTATTGTAAATATGCCAGTAGTTAAAGGAATCTCTCCAGGTAAGGTTGCTTGGTTTGAAAAGCATCTAACACGTGTTCGTAAAACCAGGATGACGCCAGGGTACCTGACCTGCTCTGTCCCATCTAAAGGACGGAGAGGAACAGTATTCTTTTGCACGGAACTCATTGCTTTCTTCTCAAGTATTCTGTGCGCAGGGTCTGGCCATCCCATGCCGTGGGACCCTGATGGGCCTGGCTTCCAATTCTCACTCTACCTTCTTCCTTCAGCGCAAGTTCCCCATCCTCTCGATAGCCCTCTACGCCAGTGTCACAATCTCTGAGTTTCCTCATTCTTCCTAGGTTCATCGCGGGGTGAAAAGTGACAGAAGTTAGAGGAATAAGTGAGGAAGAACCTAGTGGTGGGGGTGAGAATGCCAGATGTCAGACGGGATACTGAGGGGGGCAACCCTGGGACAGGACATCCGCCAAGCCCTCCAGCGATCCTGCTGCTTGCTCAGAGCTCTGGCGTTGGAATCAAGCAAACTCTCTGCCTCCTCTTAGGGAGCTCTGGTGGCCTAGTGGCAAGAAGCTGCGCTGCAATCCCAAAGGCACGTGGTTTGAGGCCTTTGGGGAGCTAGGGAGCTCTGAGGGCCTAGTGAGTAGCAAGTCTCGCTGTAAACCAAAAGGCAAGTGGTTTGAATCCATCCACCAGCTCTTCAGAGAGAAAGATGGGCAACTCTCCTCCCGTGCAATTTACCACCTCTGAGAACCAGCTGGAGGTTCAGCTATGAGTCAGTTCTGACTAGACTGAGTAATTTTGTGGATTGTTTTGTTAGCTGACAAGCTTGGGTAATTCACTCAGCCTCTCTGAAGAGTTTTTATTTAGAAAATAGAAACCATTTCTCCAAGGGCAGTCATGGGACTGAAAATGATCAGATGTTACAGGTGCAACTCTTAGCACTGTGCTCGGAGCACAGCAGCTGCTGGTCTCGCCAGCCAGGAGGATCCTGCCCTTGACGCTGTGCTGGATGAGCCTGTGTGTGTTCTTTCCTTAGAGGGAGGGGTTGAGTGTAAATCAGTTTCTTAGGGCTTCTGGGCGGTGAGGGCATGATTAGTGGCCTCCGGACCCTGCCCACCTGCTCTTTTCTCCTTATTCCATTTATTGCCTGGTCCTCACCCTGACTCTGTGTGATCTTGGGGAGTCATTGGCATTCTTTGAGTCTGATTTCATAGCTTCACAATCAAGGGGTTGCAGTTTGTGGGGTGACTTATTTTGCGTTAATAATGACTTAGAATCTGGGTCTGGTGCTGGTTGCAGCGATGCTGAGGTGGCCTGGGTCTGAGAAGGGCCTGAGAGCCTGATGCCACTGAGCCGGGGAGCACTAGTCTGGGAGGGGACAGTGTGCTGGAGGCTGTGGCAGAGAAGCGCTTTTACAGGACCCAGGCGCCTCAGCACTTGAACCTTGCTGAATGGGGAAACTGAGTCCATGTCTCCACAGGCTCCATCTACGAGATGTCTGGGAATGAGTGCTGCCTCTCCACCGGGGACCTGATCAAGGTCACACAGGTCCACCTCCAGAAGGTGATCTGTGAGAACCTGAGCATGGGTCAGATTATAGAGCTGGAGCCCAACTTCCAGGGTAAGGCAGCACCTCTGTCCCCCCAGGGGCCCAGCCCCCTCCAGGCACACCTGCACACACACATTTGGGATTCCTAATCCTAACACACACTCCCATCCCCTGATGCTCCCTCCCCCAGCACTGCTCAGCCAGTGCCCTTCTGTGCCCTGAAAATGCCATGTCTGACCTGGCTGCACCCAGCTCCCTCTCAAGATGGGTCTTTCCATACCTGCCTCTTACTGGGGCTCCTTTGTTTTGTCTTTGTCCAGGAGTCTGTCTTTCGTGTATGTATTAGAAAAATTTGTATTTAGAATTAGCCAGCTGGACTCAGTTTAGACAATCCCAATTTTGTTGGCAACATCCAAAGCATCATAGTCAGGAGCAAGTCGAACATAGGCCTTCTTCTCTCCATCAGACCTAATCAAGATGTTGATTTTAGCCACATCAATATCATAGAGCTTCTTTACAGCTTGTTTGATCTGGTGCTTGCTGGCCTTGAACAAGTGAACACAAGTGTGTTGTTATCTTCTGTCTTCTTCATGGCTAACTCAGTGATCAGGGTAAGTTTGATGATGGCATAGTGGTCAAGCTTGTTTCTCTTGGGGGTGCTCTTCTGGGGGTATTTGGGCTGCCTTCAGAATCTCAGCGTCTTGGGCTGCCGGAAGGTGGGTGACGCGCGGATCTTCTTCTTCTTTTCTTTTTTTTTTTTTTTTGCTGCTTTGGCTTCAGTTTTGGGAGGGGCAGGGGCTTCCTTCTTCACTTTCAGCACCCTCTTTTGTGTTCACTCCTCTGCACACCCATGCAGGGGCACAGAGGGGACCAGGCTCAGGTCTCTCTGTGAGGAAGCTGCAGAGGGGTGAGAACAGGAGCAGACAGTGAGGGATGGGGAGGGGAAAGCAGGCACAACATCAGAGTGGGAGTCAGCCATGAAGGTTTCCTGGAGATGACACCACAGGGGAAGGACTCCAGATAGAGGAGCTGGTTTGTGCACAGCATCTGATGCTCAGGAAATCTTAAGTGGCTCAGCTAGTGCAGAAGATGAGGAGCTGAGACATTGTGGGCCAGGCCCTGGAGCCCCATCTCTGCCAGCCAGGAGCTGTGGCCTTGGCAAGTTCATGTGATCCTCTGAGTCTCAGTGCCTCAGCTTCCTTGTCTGAGCAATAGGAATCAAATGAGTCTTGATGTGAATATTAAATGATATGCACGAAGTGCTTAGAAAGCCTAGAACTGTCATCAAGTTGATATTGACTCACAGCTCCCTCCACCAGGTTCTGAGGCTGTAAATATCTTTATCGGAGGAGACAGTCAATCAATCTGTCTCCCAAGAGTGGCTGATGGATTTGAACCACTGACCTTCCAGTAGCAGCCCAATACATTATATTATACATCACCAGCACCCCTGTGTCTAGAATACATATTATTATTATTATTATTCCTGAAATATTTGAGAATAACTTGCAGACGTGATGCTCCTGACCTCTGACTATGATAAACAGGTATCTCTTAACAACAGGACATCCTCTCACAAAACTACAGGTCAGTGATTAAATTCAGGACATTCAGTGCTGAGACGATACTGTTACCTAATTCACAGTCTATATGCAAACTCCACCACCACTAATAATGCCCTTTATAACAGTTTCCCCCCCTCCATGCAGAATCTAATCTCAAATTAAGCTTCATATATGTGGTCTTGTCTCTTTCATTTCCACCAGGCTGGAGCAGTCCTTGGCCTTTCTCTGTGTTGGTTATGGGAGTGTTTGAAGAGTGCAGACCAGAGCTTTTGTAGAATATTCCTCAGTCCAGGCTTGCTTGTTGTTGAGGTTCAGATTGTGTGTCTGGGGTAGGAAAAATCTCAGACATGATATTATGCCTGAGAGTGGGGCATTTTAGGCCAATCTCATGGTAGGTGGAGAACGGATGGGGTGGAGGGAGAATCAGGTCAGAGAGAGCAGTCAGCCTGCCAATATGAGACAGGACCTAGGGGTAGCGTGAGGTCAGAGGTCACTATGGTCAACAGCGTCTGGGTTTCTGGTTTGGGAGAGATGGACAATGGTGCTGCTCCTGGATGGAGCTGATTAGGTATGGGGCAGGGGATGCATGAGATGGAAGCAGTGGGGGGTAGCTAGGGGAAATGACAAGATGGCAAAGTTAGACAGAGGGGAAACAGTTCCCTTTCTGTTCTCTGTGTCCCTCGAAAGGGTTCCTGTGTCTGTACCCGTCTGCTTCAGGAGAAGTTCCCCATCCATGCCTCTCACTGTTCTCTCACACACAGTTGCTCACTGCTTCCTACCTCCCAGCCCTGTTGCCCAGATGTGAGCCCACTCCAACATCTATTCTCAAAGGACTCCTGGCTGGGTTGTTACAGGGCAGCATGGGGAGCAACAAAGGCCTGCCCGTTGATGCGCACTAACTCTTCTGCCCTCTGCTGTGTCCCACAGGCCACTTCAGCCCCCTCGTTTGCCCCCAGAGCTACAGGACCCTGGAGGAGCTGGTCACAGCCACTAACCAGAGCTGTAGGTCACTGCCCATTTGCTTCATATCGGCCCACACCATTACCATAAAAGGCAGGGTGGTGCCCGAGAACCAACCCCTCACACTTGAGGCAGTGGAGATGCACCTGGGGACCTGCTGTGCCCGCTGTGTCCTGAACACAGGTGCCCAGGAGGCCATTCTCTACCTCCCCCTGTCCCAGAAGGGGGTCTTCTGGCAATGGGAGCCTGGAGCACCCCGGACCCTGCTCCAGGCCCTGCAAGACCCATCGCTGAGGGGCCTCCCCTTCATCTGCTCCACACTGTCCTGCAGCAACATAATCCTGAGGCCCCAGTATGAAGTCCATGCCATCATGCACAGTAAGTTGCCCAGGCATGTGGAGGGAGGGGTGTGGGAAGAAGAGAGAGCTGCTACAATTCAACAGAATAAAGATTCCCAAATTAGTGTGGAGGAGATATAAAAGGAGACAGGGAGGATGAAGTCATGTACATCACAGAATTAGAAGCCGTTGAGTTCTGAACTTAGCAGCAGCTGACACCGAGGTACCATGTCAAAGTGAAGATGCGGCCAGTGCCTGGGAGCAGCATACTTACAGGATGCTAGGGCACAGTGGGACCATTCCTGAAGGTCCTTGAAGGTAGGACACTGTGTCAGCTAGAATCTTCTAGCTGGTAGAGAAGCAGAAACTGTCCGAGTGTTGTCAGAGGCCAAGTTTGAGCAGACAGAACAGATGCCCTCAGGACTGCTCAATAGTACAGAGTTTAAGATTCCACTCCTTGACTCTCCAAGAGAGTCAAGGTTGATGGCTGACAGAGACAGGGAAATTTTATTATTATATTAAAATCATTTTTAAGATTTTTGGTTATGGAAAAATGAAAGCATATACAAAAGTGGGGAGAGAATAGTATATTGAACCCCAATAATCCCACTATCCAGCATCACAATTATCAACTCATGGCCTGTCTGGTTTCGTCTCTGCCCATCTCCACATTCTCCCGATCCTGCCCCTCTGGTTTATTTCAAAGTAAATCCAGATATATTATTTATTTTGCAAATATTTTAGTGTTTCTTTTTAATAAAATAGATCCAGAATGCCATTATCATATCAAAAGATTAACAATAATTGCGATAGCTTTTTTTTTACTTTTTAAAAATTAATTTAAAGTTTACAGACTTGGGGTTTCCAGTCATTCATTGTTGCACTTCTCCTTGCCCACCCCATCCCCCCCAATTCACTCTTTTCCTTGAAAAGAAAAACTCTTTGCTATAGCTTTTTAAAACAAACAAAAATCCATTAGATGTTTGAATTATCTCTGTTGTCTAATTTTTTATCATTTATTCTGATCAGGTCCACATGTTACTGTGACATCTCTCAAGCCTCTTTTAATCTCTAGGTTCTTTCCTTCTCTGTTATCTTGTAATTTTTGGAGAACCCGCCCACCTCTTTCATTGGGTTTCTTCTCTGTTGAGTTTTGAGGACTGAATTTTTGTAATAGGGTTTAACATGTTCCTCTGCCCACTGGAGTTCCTGTTGTGTTGGGGGTCCCAGAACTACTCTCAGGCTTGATGATTTGCTGAGGAGACCCACAGGACAGAGCATAGTTTTACTCAGTTATGATTTTTAAATTTTATTTTATTTTTTTGCATATGTACAGTCAAATCTGATCTGACTGGTACAGGAGGAGTTTGTCCCTCCTTCTCCAGCAGAGCATCTGGTGGATTCGAACCACATACCTCTGGGATTATAGTGCAGTTTTTTGCCACTAGGCCACCAGAGCTCCCTAGTTATGATTTCTTAAAGCAAACTTGGCAAAGGTAAAAGGCACAGGGGACGAATTCTGGAGAGACCAGATCCATGTTTCCAGTGAGTCACACAGGACACAGCTCATTCCTCCAGTGACAAGCTGTGCCAGCATTTGTGACATGCCGTATATCAGGGAGGGTCACTAGAGACTCGGTGACTTGCCTTTTACTGGGAGGCACCGCGATGAGCACAGAGGCACTTTGCCTACCACAGGACAAAATTCCCATGTCCCAGAAGTAAACTACATATTTTTGGTGAGAGTTTACACACAGTGAGCCCATTTTGTCAGAGAATGGTGGGAACCCTTCTGACATTTCCAGATGCCAGCCCAGAGCCAACAATGTGAGTTTCTCTAAGGAGATTGGCCAGATCTGCTTTGTGAGCTCTCTTCTCCATATCCGTAAAGTGCTCCTCTGATCTAGAGACCTGATCCACAGTGAGAGACACACATTTTAGTGCTGCTTTTTTTGTAATTCACGTGACCTAGGCCCAATGTTTCAGCAGGATTTGCAAAAGATATTTGTTTTAATCCTATTATTTCTTCTTTGTCTTTAAGCAAGAAAATATCCATAAAATGATACTTCATTTACTCTTTGGTTACTCTTAGGTACAATTTGTATAGGAAATAAAGGACAATTTTTTTTCCCTTTCCTTAGTCCCTGATCTTCCCCAACCCCCATCCCCAGTTTTTATGATACAGAGTTGTGTCCCTGGCATTCTTCAAAGGTGAATATTTAGCGTTTTGTTTTTGTTGTTTTAATTTCACTGTGATGTTTTCAATCCCTTAAATACCATTATGCTCACATTATCTGATCTTTGACCATGGGCACCTTTTAAAGTTAGCTCTTTAATCTTTTTGACAAATCCACTTGATCTTGGATAGACTTTCTTGATTGCTGGTGTAAGGTTTCCAAGTTCAATTTGAAACATTCCAAGGACTACAATTAGCTCTTTCTGAGGAGGCCCTGGATGGGCCCTTTTAGTGGGAAACAGTCCTCAGAGACCACAATCTGGGAGCCAGGTATTCTAACGGTGGGCAGACTACTCCAAAGAATGAGACAGATCATGTAATTCACAAACCGTATCTATTGCAAGGGGGAGGGGAATTCAAACCACCTCAAACCATCCAAATAATATTATGATCTCTCATGGCCATCTCCCAACTTGAGCCATGTATCAGTTCATATTGACACAGAACAAAAGTCTCAACTTGTGGTAGGAGGGAAGTCACCCCTCTTTTTTTTAAAATTCATTTTAATGAAAGTTTACAAAGACTTAGGGTTTCCAGTTATTCATTGTTTCACTTTTCTCCCTGCCAACCCCCTCTCTCCCAGTTCATTCTTCTCCTTGAAAAGTAAAACTCTTTCATTGTTATGCAATCTCTCCCCCCAAGTCCACTCCACTGTGCAGCCTTCATTCTGGTCTCCTGGCATGACAATAATACCCAATCATATATCCCTTTTAAACAGTTCTTTGTCATCTATCTCAATACAGTATACATCATTCCTCCCCTCCTTGTCTGTCTTCCCTCAACCCCGAGGTCAGTCCTGTTTCACAACAGTGGCCCTATGCAGTATTTGTCCTTTTGTGATTGAGATATTTCACTCAGCATAATGTCCTCCACAGTTATCCATTTTGAATAATATTTCATGAGTTCCTTGCTTTTCAATGCTCCATAGTATTCTATTGTGTGAGTATACCAGAGCTTCTCTATCCATTTGTTTGTTGACAGGCACTTGGGTTGTTTCCAACTCTTTGCTACTGTGAACAAAGCCACGATAAACATGGGTGTTCATATATCTGCTTACCTGGCAGTTATGGTTTCTCTGGGCTAAATTCCCAGTAGTGGAATTGCTGGGTCAAATGGTATTTCTATTTGCAACTTTTTGAGAAAGTGCCATACAGCTTTGCATAGTGGTTGCACCTTTTTACACTCCTACCAACAGTGAATCAGGGTTCCAGTTTCTCCACAACCTTGCCAGCATTTGTTGCTTGCTGTCCTGTTAAATTTTGCTATTCTGACTGGGGTGAGATGATATCTCATAGTTGATTTGCATCTCTTTTGGAGCTAGGGATTTTGAACATTTCTTCATGTGCTTGTTGGCCATCTGAATGCCTTCTTTGGTGAAGTGTCTGTTCATATATTGTGCCTATTTTTCAAATGGTTTATTTATCTTTATCTTGTGGTGGTTACCCCTCTTCTAAGTCTTATTGTCCTCATCTGCAAAATGAGAACATTCAATGTGGTGTGGATCAAAACCACAGTGATGGGTGAGTTTTCTTCACAGTCTTAGCTCTTGGTTTTAGACATCAAGGTACCAGTCAGTGCCCAACGAAGAAATATTCAATTTATTTAGTTAATATTTTTCTTGGTTTGGTTTTTATCCCTTTAAATCTAGACTTGGAAAAGTCAGCTTAAAAAAATTTTATACTTGCGGGGTCCTTCTGGTGCAATAGTTAAGCATGTGGCTACTGATTATAAGGTTGGTCGTCTGAAATCATCCACAGGAGAAAAGACTTGGCAATCTGCTCCTACAAGGTTACAGCCTACGAGCCACTACTGAGCATTCTGATCAGAGACTATATGGAAAAATCCTGATCAAAAGGGGGAAATGCAGAACAGAACTGAAAATGCTTATAGACCCCAGACTTTCTGGAACCATGGAAATTGAATGAACCCTTAAAACTTTTGCCCTGAGATAATCTTTAAAATTTAAAGCCAAAAATATTCCCTTAAGTCTTAAAATCCATCACTTGTTCCACCTAATTAATTTTAAAAGTCTGCCTTGAATATTATGCTTTTTAAAGAACTATCTAGAAGAGATAGAGTTGACAACAGAAACTGAAAAGATTAGACAGCACTTTAAGAGGCAGCAGATTTCTGCTACTGGATGAGGAACAATTTAGAAAAAGAGAGAAATGGTTGTATAATTTGAAGAATGCAACCAATGTTATTTACTACCTTGGAATCTGTTGAAGTGGTATATATTTTGCACATTTTACAGCCTAGGAAACCCTCTGAGGAAGTTCTACTCTGTTACATCAGGGCTTTATATGTTACAATCAACTAGAAGGCAAACAACAAAATATACTAAAAATTAAACTTTAAAGGTGGATGGAAGCAAGGAATTATCAAATTATAATTTTATAATGTTGTTAGTGATTTTTGTTAGGTGCCATCGTGTCAAGTATGACCCATAGTGACCCTATGAACACCACATACGAGCCCTGTCCTGGCCTTTGCCATCCTCACATTTCCTGACACAGTCCAGCCCATTGCGGCAGTCACCGTGTCAATCCACCTGGTCGAGGGTCTTTTTTCTCCTTCATGGACTTTCTGAGCATCATGTCCTTCTCCAAGGAAAAGCCCCTCCTAGCAACATGCCCTAAGTATCTTTCCCTCTAAAGAGCACTCTGGCCACATTCTCCAAAACATATTTGTTTGTTCTTTTGGTCAACCATGAAATGTTCAATGCTCTCTGACACCACAGCTCAAAGGCATCATTTCTTCTGTCATCCTTATTCATGGTCCAGTTCTCAGATGCATAGCGAGTGATCAGACCATGGCCTGGATAATTTTATAATGATTATTATAAAATGATACATTTAGAATTAGAATCTGATACAGAATTGTTTTTTTACAGTAATACTATTGTGGGTTTTTCTTGTCTTATCATTATCCTTTTATTTTAGAAGTATATCTTACTGGAATAGAGACAGATTATTTTGTGATTATTTTCATTCACAATCACCCAGTCCAGGAGGTGTGGATGAATGGACACAGACAGAAGATGGGTCATGAGTTATATGCCAAATTGGACATACTGGCAGGGGCTCATCATATTATTCTCTGCACTTTTATAAATGTTTAGTTTTCATGTTAAATGAAGAGTAAATGAGAAACCTGATACAATAGGGAAATGTTGGTTAGAAAGAAAAGATGAAAATAGGAAAGAGGTCAGCAAGCCCAGGCCAATGGCGTTGGCGGGGGTGGAGGGAAGCACCTTTGGCGAGCAGGGCTGCACTCTGAACTACCCCCACTCCACTACAGTGCGCAGAGCCATCGTCAAGATCCCCTCCACACTGGAGGTCGACGTGGAAGACGTCACCGCCTCCTCCCAGCACATCCATTTCATCAAACCCCTGCTTCTCAGTGAGGTGCTGGCCCAGGGTGGCCCCTTCCCCCTGCCTGTGGAGATCCTGGAAGTTCCAGAAGGGCCCCCCATCTTCCTCAGCCCATGGGTGGGCTCTCTGCAGCAAGGCCAGAAACTCTGGCTCTATGGCCAGGCCTCACCATCCTGGCGGGTCCTGGCCTCCAGCAAGGGCCGCAAGGTGCCCAGACACTTCATGGTTTCAGGGGCATACCAGGGCAAGCTGCGGCGGCGGCCCCGGGAGTTCTCCACTGCCTACGACCTCCTGGCTGCCCTCCAGCCGGGCCAGCCCCTCCGGGTGGTGGCCACGAAGGACTGTGAGGGGGAGGGGGAGGAGAACCCAGAGTTCATTTCCCTGACTGTGGGTGACAGACTGGAAGTGTTGGGGTCTGGCCAGGCCTATGGCGCCCATAACAGGGAAGTGGATGTTCTGGTGTGCCAACGGCTGAGTGACCTGGACAAAGAGGAAGAGGAAGAGTGTGAAGAGGAAGGAGAGGACAAAGAAAGGTTTCTGCTGCCCCTCTACTTACCCGGCAGCTTTGTGGAGGAGATGAACGATGGCCGACGTTATGGCCTGGAGGACCTGATGGCCCAGTTGTCATTGCCTTGCGAGGTCAAGGTGGTGGCCAAGGACGCCAGCCACCCCACTGACCCTCTGACTTCCTTTCCGGGCCTGCGGCTGGAAGAGAAAATCACTGAGCCTTTCCTGGTGGTAGGCCTGGGCGCTGAGCCCCGTATGTGCTTTGAGATCCCTCCCCGATGGCTGGATCTGATGGTGGTGGAAGTGCAGGAACAGCAGAGCCCGCCAGCTGGACCGACCTCTGTTGCCACCGTGGAGGAAGTGACAGAAGCCTTCTACTACCGCCTTCGGAAGTTACCAGCCTGTGACAGCCAGCGCCCCCCACCCAGACCCCCCAAAAAGCAGGCCGCCAGCGAGCAAAAGCAACAGAACAGCACAGAGAAAAGAACAAAGGTATCAAAATAATTGGGGTGGGCAGGGTGGGGGACACCCACATTTCTTTGTTGTCTGACATCACATCTCTCAGAATCGTCTAGAACTCTGTGGCTCACATCCTTTGCACCTATTATTATTATTATTACCTGATTCTGAGACTGCTATGATTATTCATATTTTCATGTTTGAGGAAAGGAGGGCCCAGAGGCCCCATGACTAGCACAGACCCTCCAGCTCTGTAGTGGCCAAGCCTGAACTCAAGCACAAGCATCCCGTGCAGCTTTATTGTGCTTTTCCTCTCTGCTACCCTAACTCCTGCTCCCTAACTTAAGTCTTCACTTTTTCACCTGAACTGTGTCAGCAGCTGCAGTGTCTCCCCCAGATGTCAGAATGGTCTTCCCTGATCCTTCCTTGGTCATGGATGGATCTCAGTTCCATCTACTGAAACCTTCAAACTGTGACTCCCCACTGCCGTGCAGCCCCCTTAACATGGCAGCCAGGGTCCTGTACAGTCTGACCCCACTCTGTCTTCCCAGGTCCTTCTTCCACTGCCCCTTGCACCCCAGGCTCCAGGAGTCCTCATTGGGCCAGGCTTCCTGCCCCTGCACTTAGCCTTCAGGCTCATGGGCAAAGCTCAGCTTTTCTTCTAGGTGGAATGACAGTCAACCCTCTGTACTCACATCACATGCTATACAGAGTTTGGAGAACACAGTTAGTGGAGTGACAGATGACATGTCAAACTAAATTTATACCCCATATCTTAGTTCTCTAGTGTTGCTGTAACAGGATAGAGGGCTTTAACGTAAATGTGTTCTTCACTGTTTAGGCAGCTAGCAGTCCAATTTCAGGGTCCTAGCTCCACAGCCCTCTCTCTGCTGGGGGTGGAAGACAGTCCTGGTTTCCCTCAGCATCTGTGTCTGATGTTCCTTGGAGATGTCCACATGTCCTGGCCTTCCCCAGTGACCTGAGCCCAAGAGGCCACACTCCACTCCTGGCGATTGTCTCCTGGTGGCTCAGAGGCCCCACCTAGGCTTGATTTCCTCCCCTTTTATTTCTTGTGAGATAAAAGGCATCACACAGTAAGGAAACTTCCCTTACATCTGTAAGGGCTATGGCAGTATTAAGGGATACTAAAATCCACCCTTAAACCTTTACAATTAATTCAGTTTATTAAATGAGAGGTCATTACAAAGTTTCCTTGGTATATCATATGCAATTTGGGTTGGACACAATTCAGTATGACACACAATTTACTTCCTTTATAGCCTGTGTAAGCCATTCTTAGAGCCACACCTTCCCCCAGCTACCAGTAAACCTGGGATAAAAACACCTACTTCATAGCTCCTGTCTACTGGAGTTTTTTCTAGGTCACCCAGCTTATAGAATTATCCCATCTAGCAGCCACCCTGATAGGTATTCCCTTTAGAGTTGAGGAAAATGTGGCACAGAGAAATGTGGCCTGAGATCACCCTGCTAGCAAGAGACAGGGCCAAGGCTTGAAATCTGGTTTGGCCACACAGTTTGGGTGCTTAGCTGTTCTGCTCTGCTGAGAAGCCAAGACGACCAATAGGAAAATCACCTCGAAGAGGGATGAGTAGATAGACTGGGGCTCTCTATAGACTTATATTTAAGTTGTATGTAGATATGGTACAGTGATTAAGAACTTGGTTGCTAACTGAAAGGTTGGTAGTTCAAATCTACCAGCCGCTCTGCAGGACAAACATGTAGCAGCCTGCTTCTGTAAAGATGACAGCCTTGGAAACCCATGGACATTACCCCGTTTCTACTGGTTTCTTTGGGTGTCTAACTTGTGTTGCTGAGTACTGCTGGGTCAGAACCAAACCACAGCTGACCCTCCAGTGGGTTTTCAGATGCAGTAATTTACACAGGAGGAGACTGCCCATCTTTCTTGCGTGGAGTAACTTGTGGATTCAAATTGCCTTCAGGATTGCAGCACAGGTTACCACTAGGCCACCAGAGCTCCCTATAGAGTCACTATGACTTGGCATTGACGCGATGGCAGTGGGCACTTTGGATATGTAGCAGGATGATAGTGGAAGTTAGATGAAAAACCTTAAGTAGTTGCAGGCTCAGAAGGGCTACTGTTTGAAGGAACGTGGCCCATTTTCTGATAGGACAGAGGCTAAAGTGGGACATTTGAAAACTGGGCCTTGTCACAGCGCTGGGAAGAATATGGTACATGGACTAGAAAGACTCCAGTCCCAGCTTTGGCTCCTGATAGAAGTGATTTGGGCCCAATCCCTGCTTGTTGTCTCTGAACCAGTAATTTTCTCAAATGGGAAGCAGTAATCTCCCGTATTCATTGAGGGAGTGGTATAATTTGCTGTCTAAAGCTCAGTGGAAAAAAACTATAGAGGAAAACTATAGAGGTCACTGCCACAGTGCTGGGTTCAAACCCTGTGTGAAGTCTGAAAAGGCACATTGTCTCCAAGGCCTCTTCCTCATGTGGGAACAGCTCGGAGGATCAGGTGAGGATTGACTGAGCAGATATGCACAGATCTGATACACTAATTCAGTGAAAGCTGTTCCTGCCAGGGCCCCTTTGACCTCAGGAGCTCTGTGACTGGTTTCTTTGGGTTCTCTATTCTGCTCCACTACCCCCACAGATCTGAATGACAGTGACCAAACCCCCATGCAGAGAATCCCAGGGGCCCTGTCTCCAAACCCTAGCTCCATCTTTTTCCTTCCTGCCAAAGGAGAGTTATTTGCTTCTAACAAAAACACCCAGAGTCCCAAGAACCCCTACTCTGAAAAGGAAGTAGAGGAGGCAGAGAAAGTGACAGTTTACATAATATTTCATAGTCTCTGTTCCCACATTTATTGGGCTTCTACTGATTGTTTCTTTCTTCCCACTTAAAGTCTTCTCAAGATTTAAGCCTCAAGCAAACCCCTCCGTTGGCCAAATCCAAGATGAGTAAGACCCTGCCAGAGTTCTCCAAGGACAGTTCAACTGTGCACAGCATTTCTTCCCACAAGAAGGGTCCTGTGTCCACTAAATTCAACACGCGGAATCCAGGTGAGTCCTCTGCAACCTTGTCGGTGCCCCTTCTCTCACCAGCTCTACTCCTCTGCTTTTTACCTCTGGAGGTACTGCCCATATCCACAGGCACATCCTCTTGTGGTCCCAGTTTGATGGACAGGCATATATGAGGTACACTGAGGCTGAAGGGTCCCAGCTGTCCCTCTCCCCAGAAGCTGAAGAGTCCTGGCAAGGACGGCAAGTTCAGCTCTTTACAGACCACTACTCTCACAGCACACAAGATGGTCTGAAGATGGAAGTGCTCAGCACGACAGAGGGTCTTTGTAGCCCAGGGAGCTACAAGGTCTGATGAGCAGCATCCCTGCTCAGGGCTTGGAGCACCTGACACACCACCACCTGTGCTGCTCACCAAAGCACAGAGCTCCCTGGGTCCCCCTCGAGACCTGCTGAGTGAGAATTTCTGTGCATGTGGGGTAAGATGGGAACCACTGATATTTCATTCACAATGAAACAGCTGCAGTGTTCAGACAGAAAAAAATCATGATTTCTGAGCTTACAAGGACCTCAGACGGATCCACTTTCTGTGTAAACAAATTATACCCTAACGAGCAGAGGTCTAAGTTTGCCCTTGACTTGAACTATTTTGCAGATAATGATGAACATGATTACGAAGAAATAGTCGACAAGTTGAAGAAGAAAACCATCTAGGTGCTAAAGGAACCATACTTCCACCAGGTGCATCTCAGTGCAGGAGACACCAGTCACCTGTTACCAGCTGTTAAAGACCTTGGACATGGCCGCATGGCAACCAGACTGCAGACAGGGAATGGTGTGCAGGGTGATGTGGCAGGGGATGGCTCCCAGGCTCCAACACTGAGGGCTCACCTCACACCACTCAGGGTTTAGGTGCCCAGAAGAGTCCAGTGTCCATGCGATCCTGAACCCAATGGTCAGTGCAGAGGAATCAAAGTGGTGGTCAACCTTGTTCTGACACTCTGTAAAGGAAGCTCAGTTCTTACCTCATTATATTTGCTATCCTCCTTCCTCACCTAGTCTCTGAGCCCCCAAGAGGCCAATACTTTGTACTCATTTCTCTTCCCTGCACATAGCACTTCAAAAGTTGGTGTTACATGAATGTGGGAAGCTGGCTTCCAGTGCAGAATCCTAAGGCTTTATCCCTGAATCTGGTAAAGTCAGAGGGTGTCATTTTTAAAAGACTATTATAGAGATCAGAGGCTAACAATTGCCAAAGCTGTAGGTGACTATCAAAGATTTTCATTCTAAAATACCGAAAAATGATGTGATCCTCTGCATGAATATGTATCACTTAAAATTCTGCCTGTGTGCCAGATCCTTTACAAACCCTACCTGAAATCCCATCAACTCTGAAGTAAACATCCTGATGACTCTGGGTGAGGATTCCAGCTCACAACTATTGGCTGGTATTTTAACCTAAGGCATAGTTTCTTCATATGTAAACCATGACTAAGAGTTACTTCAAAAGATTATTTTACAGATCAAGGGAAATAATTTTTGTAAAGCATTTAAGTGTCTGGCATACAGTAAGTTCTCAATAAACACATGCTATTCTATTACTGCTGACTGCTCACCATCTCTCTGCGTTCAAGAAGCCAGTATAATGTCCCCATTTTTCTCTTCTCAGCCCCCAGCACTTGAGAAACACTAGGAAAGTTGGTGTTGTGTGAAATGACCTTGGGGAGCTGGATGGTCAATCTCAAAGCTTCTTTTTGAGATTACAGTTCAGACTGCACAGCTGTTTGTGCCTGTCTTCCAGTCTCTTAGCCATGGAATGCACTGTTTAAAATTTACTGCTTCTAAAAAAAAAAAAAGGTACTGCTTTTAAACTCTGGAAGCAGCAAATGCCAAATGGCTGGAGCCAGACCAATGGTGACAGCTAAGGTTAAAAAGAAAATACAAGGCTCTGTCCATGCAGCAATGAACTTGGCTTCTCAGATCAATCCAGGTCTGCTCAGGGAAGCAAGACTGTAGGTAGCCCTCACTTCTTAGAGTTGGTGGGATTTTGGTTACCAGGGCTGAGGTAGTCACAGCAGCACACACCATGGTTAACAAAGGACAAGACAGGAGACAGACAAAAAAGGATCTCCAAGTATCCAGCTGAGGAACCAAAGGAGACATCCCCTTGGTTCTAGGCATTGCACATGGTGTCCTTCCTGGGCCTGCTAAATCTCTGGGCTGTGCAGACTCACCACTCCTCTGGTCCTGAATGGAGCTCACCAGGTGACTACTGGCCAGCTACCCACACCTGCTGGGGCAGTTCCCAGTGCCTGACACCTCACCTTCCCATGTCCTCCTCTAAAAAGATCACACTGTGCAAGAGGATCTACAGTTTGCTCTGCGGACAAACAAGAGGCAAGACAATGCATAAATGGAAAAAAAAGTTATTATCCCTGACACGCAGCCCACAGAGACTAGCTCATATGCAAAATGCAAAGCTTTCACTTCCACTTTTGCATTTATTCTTGACACATAATTGAGAAAACAGGAGTAACAAAGCCACAAAGGATGAAGGCGAGAGGGCCACCAGTTCCTACAGAAGAACTTTCGAGGTGGTTAACTAGTGTAGTAAGAAGAAAGGAAGTGATTTCAAATAGAAAGCCCAGCTTTAAAGGAAACATGTTTGAAACAGAATTTTCTAAACAAAGCAATTGGGACTGGAAGGGATTTCCTAAGCAACTCTTTCCAAAGCGAGCACACACCCTTGGGGTGCACAAGATGATCTGCTAGGGTGAAACACTGCATCACTAATACATTCCTTTATAGTCTTAATGTTTTTCTTGAGGAAACTTGAGTGTTTTCTATTATACTTAGTAAATATATTAGTCCTATAAATTATGAAAGAAATTAATATAAACTAGGGGTAAATATTAAAAAGCTTTCTAAGGGTTTTTAATTTCCTCCAATGGCATTTTTTTTTACGAGATTAAAAGGAACTGATGAAAATCATTGTTTCCAGAATAATGGCTTTTTTTTTTAAATTGATGCCTTTTATTTTTTTATTATTTTTTTGTGTGCGTGTACCGTCAAATCAGATCTGACTGGTACAGGAGGAGACTGTCCCTCCTTCCCTGGCAGAGCATCTGGTGGGTTCGAACCGTGCGCCTCTGGGATTGTAGTTGCAGTTCCTTGCCACTAGGCCACCAGAGCTCCCCTACAATGGCATTCTTTAAAAACAATTTATCACTCCACATCAGATGCTAATTCTCACAGGTCTTTCTAATAAAGCACTAATTTCTCAAGAATCCTCATTTCTTCCCCATATGGACAAGTCCGCAGAGCAGAGCAGACCCACTGCTGGGCCTGGGTGGTTACACACAGCTGCTCTTACATCAAGTGCCCAGTAGTCTGCATGAAAGGCTTTTCTTTTGCTAGAATCAGAGAACTTAAAAAGTGCTTATTCATCAATGCAACTAATGCTTTTGAACACCTGTTGGGTCAGCACACTGCATAAGGAAGTAGTTCTCATTGATTTCCTCAATGTACAGCTTCTGCTGTTCTCAACAATGGATGAAGAAAACACGGCACACTCAACATCTCAGATGATCACACATGCCCCAAACGTCCAACAGTGCATAAGCCCCAGAAACGAAGGAGTTTCATCCCATTGCAGAAAGAACAGCTGTTCCACCAGAAACTATACTCAGAAACTATATAAAGACTTATTTTCAACTAGCTTTCAGCCACTGTCCCTTCCCTAAGAAAACAGGAATGGAAATACTTGCAAATAAACATACTGGTTGATTGAGTTGTAAGTATTTCACAGCTCTTCAGATGGAAATTACTTTGCATGTGTAGAAAATAAGTCCTGGTTAGAAAATGGGTAGGGCAACAATGTGAAAGTGTGTGTAGCTCTTATCACTTCTCTCAGACCCCATAAAAGCAGATACAGAATTCTCATGTGCATGTTAATCTCATGAACTTATCTCAGAATTGAGTCTTTCACTTAAGGCATCAATTCTTGGAATTATCAAAAATACCTCTAAAGGGGGTGGGGGGAATCTCTGAACTATTTTCTGCTTCCATAAGAAACACCTGAACAAGTTAGTTAAAGAACAATCACAGGCCTTTGGAAAGCCTTTGGTAAGACCCAACAGTCAACTGACTGCATGATCACATAATGCCAAGCATTCAAGGTTGAGATTCTTTTTTATAATCTCTTTAATATTAGCAATGCTATATGCTTTACAGACATCAATGTTTACAAGCCTATGAAGAATAAACATTGCTCTCACTCAAAGGGGATGTGGGAGTTTCGTTTCTTAGAACGGCTGTTGCTCACTCAGGATCCTAACCACAAGGGCGACAGGCAGGACTCAAAGCCAAGTCTCACCCTGCTACTCTGCCTCCGGTGATGAAGCAGTAATCACACCAGCTTAAAAACATCAAACAAAAATATTTCCACAAGTGGCTACAATAAGGACAGTTTTTATTTATTAAATACATACATATTTAGTACAAAGAAAGGTAACAAACATAGTCGTCTTCTCTTTTGCCTCGCTGACAGAACCTCTCATCTACAGCAGCACTTTCAGCAGCAGTCGTGACAAGAGGCTGATTCAAGAAGTGCAATTCTCTAATAACGCCACATAACCAAAGTGGGAAACAAACCATGTAGAGGGAGCAGGTCTCTGGCTTAGTTCTCTGCCGAAAGGCTCTACTCCTATTCATTTTCTTTCACCAACACTTTAGGGACAGGAGGAGCTCCTAAAAGTCTAAGTAACACTGTCCAATTCTCCTGATGGTGTCCCTCTTCCAAATTCATCCATCCTGATGTTTAACTAGCTTATCTGTAACCTTTCCAAGTAAGTCCACTCTGGTTTAACATCTCTGCCAACCGCCCACCCGCCTCAGGACTTCAAAAATACAAAGAACTGTAAGTTTCAAAAAAGATGTTGAGACTTTTTTTATAGATGAAACCTACTTTCTAGAGTTGGTGATAACAGATTCAGATGCAAAATATCACAAGTCTTCAATCAGATCCAGTTATTCTGCATCTGTGGACTTAAAATGATCATCATCCACAGTGGAGTAGATGTGTCCCTCATTGCTAAGAAAATCCACAGCTTGTCTAGAAAAGAACAAAGGACACGGCTCATTTTCAAACCAACAGGGAAGAATGAACACATATTTAAAACCGCCAGTGGTACTGTTATCACTGGAAATCCACAAGCTAAAGACTTCACACTTCCAAACTAAGTCTTCAAATTATACCCCAGAACAGAATGAGCATCAAATAAACAAAGAGGACACTGCCTTTGGGGCTCCTTTTCCTATTTTTCCATGGCTGAGCCAATCCCTCCTTATTAATATGGGTGCAGTTAACAAAGGTTTTGTTTTTTAACTCAATTTTCATCAGTAAGATGAAAACTCTGTTCATGTTATGATTCTAGAGTCACAGCTTAGAAAACCCAAACACTCACTTGATCACAGCTACATTCATGTGTTTGAGCTGAGCTTTGAGATCCTGAAAGTTCAAGCCTTCAGGTCTTGGGCAAGCTTTAATCAAATTCAGCACCTGAAGAGTAAAAACAGACAAAGTCTAAAAATCAAGCATTTCCCTTTGTAAAAAAGTTTATATGGCTCAAGAGTGATTAATTTTATAAAACAATGAATGGGATGAATCAATGTGATTGAAGGATAGTGTGAAACAATATATACAAATTTTGTATGCAAACGAATATAAAATTTAAGAAGTTTGTAGGAAAGAAATTGAGCTGGGTACTTAGATATCTTTACCATCATCACAGAAAGGATAAAATTTTATTTTCTTTTTTTTTTTTAGAAAGGATAAAATTTTAGGACTGTTTATATGTCATATTTCTGACTTACCTGGTTTTGGGGAACAGTAAGGCCATTTGCTGGAGCAAAGGTATTCATTGCCTCACTCATCCCAGGATTGCTGACAGGTGCTCTCCCTGCTGAGGGCTGAATTGAAAAACAAGTTCATAACATTAGAAAATTCAAGCAAAACACAATTTTTGCTATTTAAAACAGCCTGTTAATAAGCAGATTACAAAAAAACAGCAAAGCTAGTTTAAGCAAAGAGTTTCCCAGTAACACTGGAAGGAATACTTATCATCTAAGAAGTATTTGTAGTACATTATGTGTTGGACTGTTAACTAAAGGTCAATGGTTCAGATCCACTAGACACTCCATGGGAGAAACTGGGGGCATTTCCTCCTGGAGAGGTTTAGTCTCTAAAATCTGATGGTGGGTCACCATGAGGTAGAATTGAGTGGTAGGCAGTAAACCAGGAAAGAGAAAGGTAGGCTCTTTATGATGTGGGAGAGACACCAGAGGAAAATTACACCCAGAAGAAAATTACCAGAGGTCTGCATTAATGCTATCCCCAGGGCTCAAGCATGCAAGCATTTACTGATTGCAAACGGGTACAAAGCATTTAGAGAAGAGACTCCAGTACGGTCTGCAAGCAGTCTGAAAGCAGGAATAGTCCAGTATCACTATTTTCATTTCTCTCCAGTCACTACTCAGCCCACTCTTTAGATTCTCCCCAAACATACCTCTGAAATGGTTGGTTCTCAGCAATAAATTTCAACCTACAAAAAAAAAAATAAAATAAAAAAATAAAAACACCCCCACAGAAGGGAACTTTGTACACGGACCTCACCTGATTGACAGTATCTGTGGTAAGAATCATTGAAAAAGCTCGATATCATCAGTAAAAACCAGGCCAGGTCCTGAATAAGGAACAGACTATTAATTATTTACTAATGAAGTAAGTTCAACTTATCAAGAAGACAAAGTGAAGTATTACGAGATTTGTAAAAAAAAAAAAAAAAGGAGCAGGAGAATAAAAAGGAAAGGCTCTGCATTTCTTAAGCTGAAAGAATTAAAAATACCAAACTCAAGACTTAAGTTGCAGTACTGAGATATTTTACAGGCAAAATCTTGAATGATCTAGGAAACATGAAAGATGAAAGAAATAATACAGAGTCACTGTACTAAAAAAGAACTGGTTGACACAGAAATATTTTAGGAAACAGCATGTGCTGAAGAGCAATGGTGATGAAGGAAGAAATTCAAGCTACATTGAATGCCTTGGAGGTAAAAATAAAGCCCCAATTGACATGTTTCAACTAACAGATGCAGTCCCAGACATGCTAACAAATCTGTGCTACGAAATTTGAAAGACAGTTACCTGCTCAACTGACTGGAGGAGATTCATATCTGTTCCTAATCCCAAGAAAGATCATCCAACAGAAAGTGAAAATTATTGAACAACATTGCTAAATAACACATGTAAGCAAAGCATTGCTGAAGATCATTCAAAAATGGCTAGAACAGTGCATTGACAAAAACTACCAGAAATTCAAGCCTGGTTTCTAAAAGACCGTAGTATCAGAGATCATTGTTTATGTCAAATGGCTCCTGGCTGAAAGAGAGAACACCAGAAAAATTTCTATATGTGTTTTAGTGATTATGCAAAGGTATTTGACTGTGTGAATCCTAACAAAGTATGATGAACATTGAGGAGACTGGAGATTACAGAACACTTAATTTTGCTTATATGAAACCTTTACGTAGATCAAGAAGCTGTTGTCCGAACAGCACACGGGCAGGCCGGGGGAGGGGGATTGTGTGGTTTAAAATCAAGAAAGATTTTCATGAGGGTTTTATCTTTTTTTCCATACCTGTTGAATCTGTATACTGAACAAATTATTTGAGAAGCTAAACTCCATAAAGAAGAATGAGATAATCAGCATTGAAGGAAGACTCATCAACAACCTTCACTATTCAGATGCCACAACCTTGTTTGCTGAAGGTGAGGAGGTCTTAAAACACTTCTTAAAGAAGAGCAAAGACAGAATTGAGATTACAAAACAACAAGAAAACAAAGATCTTCACGACTGGGCCAATAGGCAACTTTATGATGGAGAAAAGATTGAAGACCTATATTGTCAAAGATTTCACCTTACTTGGATTCACAATCAACACTACCAGTGCTAGCAGTCATCTCACATAATTTGAGCATTTTCGTGAAAGAGGCTATTCCTTACAAAAGGGCGTTATGTTTGAAAAAATGATGAGTCAGTACAGAAGAGGAAGACTTTTATTGAGATGGTGTCAAACAGTGGTGGCAGCAATGGGTTCTACTGTGTCCCAGATGATGAGGATGATACAGAATAGGATAGGCTTCAGAACTGTTTATAAGGTGGCTATGAGTCATACTTGACTCAACAGCATTTAAGAACAACAGCAGCAACAATCTGCTGTATAGCTGTAGTCTGTGAACTGAACTAAGCAATCTCATCTCTCATCATGCACTATTTTCACTATATTGATGATATTATATTAACTAGTGATTTCTTTATGATTAAGAAAAAAAAGCTTAGTGACACAC